CCGTGCCAGACGGTTTGTTCCTGGAGGCAGGTCTCTTACCTACCTCCTCAGGCTCTGGGAAGCTTACACTGGTGTTGATCCTACCGCTCTTGGCATTTCTGCGTGCATGACTGTGCTGCACACCTCGTTTTTGCATTCATCCCTGTCTCAGTCACTTGCTGCTACATTGGGACGACCTGACCATGGATCCAAACCACGACGTGTCCATGTGGACGTCCGTCCCCCCTGTGGGTGTCGTCTGGGACCCCTCCGCAGGCTCCTCACGGGAGTTGCTACCTGTACTCTTGTCCAAAGCACCCACGCGCATACGGAGGTACAGTAGTTTCGGGGGGGAAGATACAGGGGGACATCCTGAGAACGTGTACCCGGCAGGCACTGGCAGGCCATGCGCTAAGCAACATACACTGCAAGGCCCTGACCAGTGGGCATCGAGGGGGTGAGAGCCATAGAAGAGATGGCCTCAGGTAGCATGGCTGTACGGGAGCAGCAGGCTGGGTATCCTCCCCAAGCCACTGGCAGAGGGGAGGACAAAACGGTCGAGCCTGCCCTGCACGGGGCCTGTTGGCAGCGAGCAGGCAAGGGTCTTCGGAGCTGCAGCTAGGAGTCTCAATAGGAATGAGCTGAAAGCACTGATGCAGACCGGTTTTTCGGCGTGGTATGGCATGCCAGCGCGCCAGGTAGTACCAATCCAGGATTAGCTTGGGTAAACACAAAAGGCAGCGCTCAGTCGTGCTGGAACTCCGGGCAGAGTCCAGCAAACGGAGGGTGAGATATACAGTGATATTCCCACTCTCAGTGCTGGACGGCTCAAGAGTGAAGATCCCACTGGAGGGTCCATCCAACGCAATATGTTCGGAGTTGACAGGTGGCGGAATCGGTGTTCCTGTGTCAACCTGAGGAGCAATGTGCCCAAGAGCCTGGCGGGGGCTGCGGCTTCTCGCAGCACGATGTGCTGTGCATCCGGGCTCTGCAGTGAGGTTGGAGGGGCTCCACAATCCGCTCAGTCGTAACAAGTTGCTTCCATCCTCTGAAGACAGGCAGTAGGAGGTCCACGGATTCCCCCACAGTCTCCAGCTCCACCTCAGTAGGTGACAGCGCCTCAGTCGGGATGTCAGCACCACAGCCTGGCCCCGTCGAGCAAGGTTTATCTGCCATGCTGAGTACAAGCAGTCCAGGGAGAGGGGGCACGTCACAGTGTGAAGTGGCTGCAGCAACTCACGCAGTAACCACCAAAACAACATGAATGTGAGGCCGGCTGGACTGCATGGCCTGTGGGCGCCGAGACTTGTCTGCATCAGTAGCCTCGGCCAGGGAGCATAGGATGGGAGCACTGGCTGGGCGCAAGTCTCTGTGGGACAGAAGTCACGCGTCAGGTGTTTCAATGCCCGCCTGACACAGAGTCCGTCTCATACTGACAGCGGATATACACAGAAACTGCAGTGGTCCTAAGCCATGTGCACTGCGCATCCTCCTGGACAGACTACTCATCCCGAACAAGGCGCAGTCGCAAAGTAACATTGACCGTACCATGGGCTGGGACTCGGATCTCAACGCGGTACTCGGAGTTGTCCGGCGCCGACGTCGCAGCACGCTCGAGTCGCCAGGGCTTCAGATGCGAGACCCGGCATGTGGCCCAGAGTCCCCGCGTCATTCTGAGATGCAGTGGACAATGGGTGTCCTCTGGCTGATCAACTGCGACGCCGCACACCTGGCGGGTTGGCACGGGGCAGTGTAGTCCTCGGTGTCGTAGGGTTGACGGGTCCAGCCACTGGAGTGGGCCTGGGTGGACCAAACACTTCACCACGAGCTGCTCTGGCTTGGCGATCCCTGACGTCATGCTCAAAACGTACCTTCGTGGTGAGCCCAGCCATCGCCTGCTCAGAGAGCGATATGCTCGGCGGACTATCACTCCCCGTGGAGTCGCGGGCACCTGAGCGAGCAGCCTGATCCGGATGCGAGGGTGGTCTCGACATGGCAGCTGTATCAGCTGTATCAGCTGACGCAAAGTAGGGTTGAGGAGCCCAGGCACCGCTCTCTCAGTTGCACTGCAGACTCGAACCATCAGAACGCAAGGCTCATTCAATCGCAGTTTAACCCGACACAGGCAGTAGCAGTGTAGGCCCTGGGCTATGTGGAGGTTCCAGGCCCTAGGCCACGGAGGCAGCAAAGCACCGGCATCCGGAAGGGAGGGCTGCGCACACCGAGCGGCTGACACTGGATGATTCTGCCAGTAGGACCTGAGAACGGACCACATAGTAGTCCGGCTTGGTGCAGCACACAGCCCTACATGGCAAGCTGCCAGCACACTTCCAAAGCTTTTCCTGAACAACGAAAGGAATCGTACAGCCATCAGAGCGTTGGCCACCTTGAGGCATTGCCGACACTGTCTGTCAGGCCGCGCTACCAGGTCCTGGATGTCCTGGCTGACCTGGAGACGGACCATTTGGGGCGCACAGGTGTCGAGGAGGTCGGGGCTGCATCAGCCTGTATTGTAATAGTCCATCGCAAGGATCCTGACTTCGCCGCGGCAATTGGAGGGAGATGCAGGTGAAGTCCGCCCAGTGGGCCAAGAGACGGCGATGTGAAGCTCCATGGGTTAGCTGACGTGAAAGGCGTGGACGGTGCAGCAGGCTGTGTCTTCGCTGGTGTCGGGACGGGCGGGCCCGAGGGGCAATATCCAGATAGATGCGACGCACTGCCTGAGAACGAGGTCGGTGCCTTCGCTTTCGGGCAAAACGGCCTCGGTCCAACCTCCAAGTGAGCGCTTGATGGGTGGGTACCAGGCACCGGCACCTCCGGAGACGGCTCACTGGAGCTGGGCATGGCAGGTGCACCCCCCATCTCCTCCGAGGCGTCATCATCAGTGGCCTCCTCGTAGGCTGGATTGACAGCCAGTCGAGCTTTCGCCGGTGCGGGCACGGAGGACACATCGTTGTCTGAGCAGCCCCGTTTGGCCATGATCGCCCGCAATACAGCAAGGAGTGAAGGAAAAGACAGCTAGGCTTGGGCCGCGAGCTATAGATAAGATGAGGCTCGCTGTTGGTGAGCAAATGCCCAGCTGGCTGGGGTGCAGGACAGTCTGTGCGATTCAGGTAAGGCCACGACTGGGGTGGCCAGTCTGAGGGAGATGCCCCATCCACAACTGCGACGGGTGCGGGATAGCCATAAGAGTCGCACAGAAGGTAGCTCTGTAAGGACCGCACGGTGCACCAGGTGCAAAATATGTAGGCCTGTGCATAGGTGGAACACATGTGTCTGGGCATAGGCGTAAGTAAGGAGCCCAGCCTGAAATAGCACGTGTATGAAGACAGCCGGTGGGCCGAATATGGCAGGCTACGGTTATCCTGATAAGGTCAAACGGATGGGCTGGAGCCCCGCAGCAGGACCAGACAGGTGGTAGTGCAAGCCAGTACAGCCCTAAAGCAGAGTGAGTCGAAGCGAGGCGCATCCTGTTTGGCTCACCAGCAATAGCGACAGCTCTGATGGATGACAGACTGTCGCAGGCATGACTCCTACATCTCTGCATGAAGAACCCAGGCCAGTCACCAGCGACAGAACTCCAGTCCACCGAGGTACTGCCATCAGTCCATAGCTTCCAGATCCACATATTTTCTTGAAGGCATCCTGGGCACATCCGAACAAGCTCTGCGCGGCTCTGCAGGCCACACATGATGCTGGTAGCTAAGACATGCTCAGACAGCTGCTTGCTGGATATGTCGGACTCAGTGTGGCCCAATCCACTCAGCGACGACTTGGTCAACATGAACTTTGCCATAGGTTGCAGTTTCAGCCTGGTGACAAGAGCAGGCTTACCAGCAGTTCCCGAGAAAAACAAGCGTGCATCGGACCGTCCTGAGAGGGACAGCGGATTTGGAACCTGTCGGCTGGGTCTGCTGCCCCGCCAGGGGATGTTGCTTTCCTGACCACGTGTAGCCATCCACAAACCTGAGCTCAAACACGGAGCTGTGTGATTACGGGAGACCCCAGGAGACTTTGGGCAGCTCGCATTCTGGTACTCAACATACCTGAAGGGAAAGGTCATCACAAGATAGAAGGCCAGCGGCCCCCACAACCTCCGGCCTCTGCTGGCCGGTGCATCTCGCATCTTGTTGGTTGCACTGGTGCACTGCAGTTCTCCGGCTGGGCCCTTTCGCATAATCTGCAGTTTTGAATCCATGGCGTGCAGAGCCGTAGGAACCGCAAGAAGCCAGACCCCAGCCAAAGAGAACACCCAGCAGCCCGGGCAACCGTCTAAGCTCGTCGCTGTGAGCCTTACATGCACACACATACATACATACATACATACATACATACATACATCCATGCATGCATGCATGCATGCATGCATACATACATACATACACAACATTCACATATACAACCATACAACCATACATTCATTCATATATACAACCATTCATACAGAGTACATACATATGACATATGTACATGTGTACATACATACATACATACATACATACATACATACGTACGTACGTATGTACGTACGTACGCACGTACGTCCGTACGTAGGTAAACACATGCACACATACACAGCTAGACACCTACACACAGCTGCACACCTCGTACCTACGCGCCTGAATACCTACACACCTACATACATACACACATGCATACCCGCATGCATGCATGATACATGCATGCACACATGCATACGTACCCACATACATGCATGCGTACATACATACATACATACATACATACATACATACATGCATACAGGCAGCCGGGCTGGCGGGCAGGCCGGCGGACAGACAGACAGACACAGACACAGACAGACAGACGGACGGACGGACAGACAGACAGACATGACGACGCACATAGACATACACCTCATGTAGACATGCACACAAACAAAAAAGCCCAAAAAAAACAAGCATACAGACAGAGAGATAGGCATGTAGACAGGTACTTCTGCGGTCATGTCATGCAGTATATGTACATTTGCAGACCCAAGAGGATGCTGACATGAACGCTGCCTCGGCTGAAATGGCTCCTGTTCATGCCCGGCTCCGAATGACGGACTCTGATGTCGACGAGCTCAGTACCACCTGGTGTGGTTACAACCTCGCTTGATGACGCGTGCAAGCAGCGCAACTGCGCCAACGACAACAAGACGGAGACTGAGAGTCCGGCGAAACGCTCGAACCACTGATAGTCCAAGGTCGGACCCTCGAAAGTGCTAGCCCAGATGATCATCTCGGGCGTCTGCAGCATTGGCATGAGCTTGTAGTTGGGGAACCAGAACTTAATCTTCTTGCCTCCATACCACGTGATAGGGTCTCCAACCACAGACACTGTAAAGCCTCCGCTACCGTCTTGACTGAGCACAACTGGCACCGTCACCTGGTCAACGTTCGATGACACCGCAAAGCTGATGGACCCAGCAGGGGCATTGTTGAAAGACGCTTGCAAACCAGCATCCGCTGTGATTGACGTGGAGACCGTTGATCCTGCCGGACAAGGATTTCCTGGGCTTGAGGCATCCTCCAGGAACAGAGTCATACTCAAACCATCGGCCGCGATGCTGGCGCCCGTCACATCACAAGTGCCGGCCAACCTTCGCGGGCCACGAGCGTCCAAGCGTCGCGCCAGTGGCACGGTGGTCGAAGTAGTTGTTGTGTCGTTCGCATCAGATGTGTCCGAATCGTATGTAGTCGTGGTCACAGTGGTAGTCGTGTAAGTTACCGTTGTGCCACCAGCTGATGTGAACGTCAAGTTGACCGGGTCACTGCCACTAACCGTAATCAACCCCGATGGCAAAGTAATGGTGGCCTCTGTAGTTCCGGCGCTCACAGTCTGAAAGCCAATGTCAACGGCTTGCAGCGGAGAGCCGGAGATGACAGGCTGGCCGTCTGTACCAATGGCTGACACTGAAACGGAATTGAGTTGGCCGGCTTCTGCCACGAAACTCAATGACAGGCCGAACACAACTTTCCAAAACATCATGGATGTAGAGGAAGATCGTCTTGCCGACGATCACAAATTGCCGGCACTTGAGCACAGAAGCACTGCAGCGGGCTGACCTTAGTCCTGTCTGTCACTCTACAAAATGCCTTGTGCACCAGCGCATCACCTCGTGCCGAAAAGTCACATGCATCTATGGTCTATGCATCCGCGATAGCTCTTCTTTCTCTTTGCTTTTGAGGGTTGCATGGCCTGTGACCCCGTCCGTGAGCATACCTCGACTGGCGGAAACGTCTCGTATGTGCTGTCAGTGCTGAGTGTTGAGCCCCCGCCTGTCATTTTGTGGTCTCTCGCTCTTCTTCTCCAGGTTATGGGGGACGTGTCAACTATCTCCTTGTCTGTCTTTCTTCGCAGCCAGCTCTCTCTCTGTCTCTCTCGTTCTGCTGTCGCTTTCAGCACAAACGTTTTCTCTCTCTCTCTCTCTCTCTTCCTTTTTCGTTTCAGAACAAGTCCACACGCGGGGCTGAGGCGGACGCAAAAGAAAAGTTGAAACTCGTGCCGTCAAGGCTTTGCAAAGGTTAATGCAGAAAGCCCGCGTTAAAAATCCAACCCCATCTTGTGTCATACGTTTTTCACAAGCTTCTTTCCATCCATGAACAAACAGTTATGCAGTTATAGAAAGACAAACCAACCGAAAACTCTGCCCGTGTTTACAGTTTGACATGAAGACGTGCAAACCAACGCCTGCGTGCGGACACAAGAACACAAACGTCTTTTTGAGGCAAAGACTCATGTGAGATAACTGTGACATCTTCCTGAATGTGAAAATAAATACGACCAGTTTTTTAGTCGAGTCCACCTCAAAGGCTGCTATTGCCATTTTTGGTCCCGTGCAACAATCCAACAAATGCAACTACTACAAAAGCAAACATAAAACAATGAAACCTACAGCAGATGCAAAATTCCTGCCAACTTACAAGACAGCACAGCTGCTCAGCGTCCCAGCAAGAGGTGTCTTCCAAGATGAGGTGTTTCCAGCGTGGTTCTGGTGTCGTGAGCATGACAATCAGATTGGGTCATGTTCTGCGTTCGCTTAGTTACACTACAGCTGAAGACTGGATGTCCACGGTTGGATGCGTGCTTTGCGTAGATTTGCACAAGACTTGTAGATTGTTGGTGCACAGCGATCGGACAATAAATGAAGAGACTGCGTTGACCCCTTGTAAGTGGAAGTATTTGCAGGTGCAAGCAGCTGTCGTTCGAGAAAACCACTTGTTGTGAGTGGAAGTATTTGCAGGTGCCAGCAGCCTGCTCACTGGAGCATTAGGTCCTAATGATTAGGAGAAAGAGACTTTGCACGGGTGGGATACATCCAAGGATCCTTCAGCGAAGGGGGCTTCGAAGCTTTCGAAGCCGGGGGGAGGGGGGCGCCGAAGGGAGAAAGGCTTCGAAGGATTCGAAGAGTGAGGATGAAGGCTTCAAAGGCTTCGAAAGGTGAAAAAGAAGGTGGCTTGGCAACGAATGCTTTGAAGGGTGAGGACGAAGGCTTCAAAGGCTTTCAAGATAAAGTTTTTGGAAGGTGGATGAAAAAGACTTTGAAGGCTTCGAAGATTTTTTTTTTGCTGGTGTGGACCTTGTACACAGCATCAGCTGCACATCTGCTAGAGTGTATTTAGGCCTTGTGCAACACGTTACCAAAGACTTAAGAGGGGCACTGTTCGCCAAAACGATCAGCTTCACCAACCTCGCGTCGCAGCCCATCGTCTTGGCGAGACAAAGCAACTGGCCAGAACTTTCATCTCACTCACCAAGACGATGGCACAGCCTCTCTTCTGCGATCCTTGTTCGCTGCTAAGCTTCACATAGATGATGCTCTCATGAAAGCTTGCGTCTCGACATGTCTTGAACAAGACGAAGCTCTTGCCAGACAGGTGATTCCTCCAGATCAGCAGAAGGGAATCGCCATCGTCTGCTTCTTGCCGACGCCTGTGCCTTGCCAACACCATCAGAGCTTGCAGACAAACACACATTGCCACGCAGCTAACATGATCCCTCTAACACAAAAACAGTGCTCTAAGAACAGTACATGCAAAGAGCTACCTCTCAAAAGCGCGGTGCAACCTCGAAACGCCTACACGTGCAAACACTCCACCAACGTAGCTACATTGAAATTTGTCGAAGGAACAATCGCGGAGCTCAACATAAAACGGCGGGAACGAAGCTACCACCAATGTTTTACCACCAAAACGTTGCCGCTGAAATGTTGCCACCCCAATATCCAAGTCTTTAAAATGCAATCCAGTTCTTCAAAGTACATTGCATGCAGAAACCCCCCCATAAAGGATTGTGTTGGCTTCAAGGAGGGCTTCAAGTAAAGGCTTGAAGAAGCCTGAAGGCGGTAAAACTCAAACAAAAAAAAAAGAAAAAAAGACGCTACACGAAATCGCTCTGCGAGGGTTTCAGAGAATTCTGTGACGGAAAGAAAATGAAAGCAACTGAATGAAAAAAGAACAAACTTGACAAAAAACGCAATCACCGATCAAAAAAGAAGAAACATGAAAGAAAAATCCAATGAAAATAACCAGATCAAACAAAAACGCAGTCGAAAAAAGAAGAAGAAGCCACACGATCGCCTTTATGGGGGATTTTGCAAGGAAAACCAGAGACGAGAAAGCAAGAAAACAAAACGCAGACTGCCAAAGTTGTCACACGAAGCTGCTGTTTAGAAGATTCTCGCGACAGAAGAAAATAAGAGCACTCAACGAAAAAAAGAAAAACCTTCAAAAAAATTGCAATCAACAAAATAGAAGAAAAAAGGAACCAAAATGAAAAGCAACAGAGGCGGTGAAGGTACGAGGTGTCCACTGCATCAATGTCAAGGCATCCAATGAGGCGGATGAGCGGTTTTGCACAGCGTCGCCATTCGTGCACGCTCTGCTCAACCAGATGGCCCCTGCTGTTGTAACTGACACGAAGCCCAAACGCTGAGAAATCTTCTGATGCAGTTGAAACCATCAGGAAGCATTGAGAGGCCAGAGGGATTGCGGATTTGATAGAAAGTTGAAGCAGCAGACCTAGCATTCCACCAGAGGGCGGCCGTGCAGCCTGCCAACAGCGCAGTCTCTAACGGCGTCAGAACCTTGGAGCTCGTCAGCTTTGGAACCTTGGTAGGCGGACTGGGTGGTTGAGTTTGGGCTACTGTCCTTGTAACGTAAGCTTGTTTTCAGAAGGGTTCTCACCAGTGTCGGCCTGCATGTTTTTTGGGTGTGGGCGTCAACTTGTTATGCGTGCTGTGCAACCCCGATCTAGGTCCACTTCTTCGCCATCCTCAACAGGCTCCGTTTTGAAGTTTTGAGGAGTTGGATCTGCAGGAACGCAGGATAGGGTGAGGATAGAGGTGGAGGTAGAGGTAGAGGGAGCGGCAACGACGACACAGTGGGGGAGAACGACGAAGGCGCTGGGACGATGCGGCAGCGAGGTGAGGATTTATAGAGGTAGAGCTAGAAGGGAGCAGCGACGAAAAACGCAGCGGGGGGGACGCGGCGGCGCGGCGACAGCGGGTGGGTAAGCGACGACGGCGCGAAGACGATGCGGCGACGGCTCGGCGTGGCGGCGACGACGCGGCGGCTCGGTGCGGCCGGCAGACCGGGCTGTTGCTGAGGGGTCCTATAAGCCTATAGGCATTCCGACGTCGACGGATAGGAGGCGGGGATGCACGCGGCAGGATGATCCGCACGAAAATCTGGAAATCCGTGATCATCCGCTGTCTTCTGCAGGACCCCAAGCTGCTGATCATGGATGAACAAGCGACGCTTGGGCAGGATCCGGACCATGCGTGCGATCTCGATCGGTCGCCCGCATCGCGTGCCCCCGCCCCCTGGGCGCCCCCGCTCCCAATCTCGGCCCGGCCGCGTAAGACCGGACCTCGGACTATATTACGGCACAAAGCAACCATGCTGCTTCTGCGCACTGATCTGCCAAAGCCAAGTGTAATTCCTAGACCAATCATCCACACGACATCCTCATTTCCAAGGGTGAAAAAGGCTAATTTAATTAATGAAAAGGTAAGCGAGGGAGGAACGAACGAACGCACGCTTTTCGCTTAATTAAATTTGGGCCTTTTTCGTGCTGGCTTCTGTGGTTTAATTAAAACAGGAGCACGCGTTCACCGCCTTCACTTGTCTCTTCTCTTTTAATTAAAACACAAAGAAGCCACAGCACCACCTTGGAATCGCATGCCAGGTTCTTTTGTTTACTGTTTCGTTTATATTTTGCCTTTATTATAATGAAATGGAAGAAATGGAAAGAAAGCATGAATAAAGGCAAAGATAAACGAAAAAGAACAAAAGACCAAAAATAACTAATTTTTTTATTCAAACAAACCACGCGTTCCTTGTGTTTATTTCATTAAAAGATTAGGTTTTTTTCGCGGCGACGGCGGGCGAGTGCGCCACGGATGAGCGAGCGACGACCGAGCGGCTTAAGGCGACGGGCGGGTGGCCGCGAGTCGGCGGCGGGCTGCGACGGCGCAGCGACGGGGAGGCGACGAGGGCGAGCGGAGAACGGGCAACTGCCGGGTGTGCCCTCACTTAGGGTGCCCTCACAGGTCACTGCCCCCCCTCGACGACACACGGTGAAGCGACGACGACGACGCGGCGAGGAGACGACGATGCGGCGACGACGACGCGACGGACACGACGACGGAGACGCGGCGATGGCTCAGAACCGTGTTACCCCAAATGTTTACCCAGAGCCGGCGTTACCCAGAGGCGCGTTACCGAAATGTTGCCACCGAA